CCTGAAAATTTCAAACCTCTAGCTCACGTCCTTCTTGGGAAACGGACAGACAGACAGACAGACAGACAGACAGACAGACAGACAGACAGACAGACAGACGAACACAGAGGCGACGGCATAAGCCCGCTTATATAGCTTTTAAGCAAAAGAGCGGGCTAAAAATGGATCTAGCTTATATCGGAGTAGTATTCTTGTGTCAACCATAATTGTTTTGTTATTCGGTAAATTAAGTTTACAGAATCTTCTAAACCGTCCCGGTGTCGTTGTCTAGGATAGTGTAGGGACATATTGCGTTGGTACCATGTACCTTACTCGATGATAATGACAAGGTGGTAGATGCATATAGGCCCGCTAAACTGTTTGAAATCCAATGGCACGCAACCTAAACTCTCTCGGACTCGCTCATCTTCTGCTTTGTCTAGGGACGGCGCTACGCCACGCCATCTCCTCAGAGCGGCCTTCTTCTTGTTCCTCTTAACGGGCAGCTTCCTCAATGAGGAATATGAGCATTTCTCCTTTTAGACAGTCTCCAGTGGCTCTCTCTACCCAAAGGTAAAAGCTGCCAGATTTTATTTATTTTTCAGCATCCAACCGGCCTGAACATGCATGAGTTGGCCTCTCCGCGTTCGAGCGACGCTCTCGGGCTGCTCACCCTTGCCGCAGGTCTTCTTGCGCATGTCGCACTGGTTGGTGTAGATGACGCCGTCCGAGCCGCAGACGGGGTCGCCGCCGCCCTGCACGGGGCATATCCTGGGGCACGAGGCGTCGCGCGCGGCGTCGCAGTCTGCAACAAGGAGAACAGGGGGTGAGTTACAGTCGCTTGCATTTCGGCAGACAGGGCGTGTGGGCGGCGCAGAGCCGTGTAAGTACCGCAAGCAAGTGTAGTGGGAGCCCGGCGGGCCCCGGGCCCCATCCCTCCCCACATGACTTACTGCGCGGCGCACTTCCGTCCGCAGCGCTCGCCCCGCACTACTTGAGTAAAACGGGCCACTTTGCGGTGCGCCGGCCGCGGCCGAGGGGGGGGGGGGAGATCCGGAGGGGGGACAATCATGAGAAATGGCGTCAAGTGAGTGTGAATGGGGAACCATCGCACGGAAACTGGAGGGAATAATAATATAATGATAATAGACTACTCAGAGTGGTCGGGCAGGGCAGGGAGGGAGGGGCACGCCGCCGAACGGGAAGGTGTCAAGATGGAGCACGCCGTCAGGGGGGTCTACGCGCCTTCCGGGCATCTTGTGCCGTATACCTCATACCACCGCCCCCCACCCCCCCCTTTAATCTACAACGCATCTTCCAGATCTAATCTGCTCCAAAGGCTCCATTGATAGGCTTTTCGGCGATGAGTCGGCAGGGCAGGCGCCCCGGGCGGCGCTGGGCGCGGGGAGCTCGGCGAGGAGCGAGGGAGAGCAGGTGGTTGTTTCAATATATTATCTGAACGGCGCGGCCGGCGCCGGCGGCCCGCCCCGCCCCGCCCCGCCCCGCCCCGCCACGCTGCTGGCCCCGTGCCCCATTGGGGGCGCCATAGGGATCCGCGGCGTGGCGCGGCGTGGCGCGGCGCTGCTGTCACAAGCCGCGGCCGGGAGGTCGTCGCCGCGATAACGGGATGCTCGGCCGTGGATCAGGATCAAGGATCGGAGATCAGGAATCTAGGACCAAGGACTCGCGGCCGCCGGCCGGCCGGCACGCTGGCTGGAGGCCCCAGGAAGCGGGTCGGAGCGGCCGGCGGGCCGGGCGCGGGCCTCGGCACGGGTTATATAGCAATTGTCTGCGCATCCACTAACGTGTTAGAATGGGTTGTGTGTCCACCAGGCGGTGCGCGCATAGCTGGTCATTCCACCTTACTTCACCTGAGTAAACAGCCGTGCCGATCATTGGACAACTCTCTTATTAGCTTGTGAAGATGCGTGTAGTCAGCGCAACGCGTTACGTCCAGTCTGACCAGTCGTCCGGGGTCACGTCGCAGAGGGCTGGGGCGAGCGAGCGGGCCAAGTAATGGACGCCACGCCCCCTCCCCCATGTCCGCGTGCGGGAGGGGAACAACCTGCATCCCCGCACTGTTAGTTCCTTACGAACAACTGCTCTTCGTAACGTACAAATGATTTGGAGCATTTGTATTACAAACAAATTGTTTGTATTACGAAGACCCTGGTTTGTATTACAAACGAGGCTTTTCGTATTACGAATGGGGGGTGTTCGTAATATGACGTAAAATCGTTCGCAATATGGCTTTCTTTAGATCCTTTGTAAGTTACAAACAAATTCTTCGTAATACGAACACCGCTGTTTGTAAGGAACTAGGAGTGCGGCAGCCATCATTATGGGGGGTCTTGGGGAATGCGAAATGCATTTGGCTACAAAGCACGGCTTGAGTTCCATATGTTTCTTTTTGGCATATATTTCTTTGAAGAAATTTAAGAGCGAGAAAATTGTTCCTTTGAATTAACGGAGGATCCCTTAGATCAATAGAAATTCAATCAATGGAAACTATGATAGACAGTTTTCAGGCCACTTTAAGGGACTTTCCCTGACCTTATACAGGGTGGTCCACAGACCCCTTCCTTTATTTTGCTTATACTGTACCGGATGCAGGCGTGCGGACGGGTTGCATACTCGCACGGGGCCGTAAGGCGCCGCGGTGAGCGACGGTAGGCAAGCCCGCCCGCACGCCTACATGCGGTACAGTATAAGCAAAATAAAGGAAGGGGTCTGTGGACCACCCTGTAGAAATTTTTCCCTTCAATTAATGAAATTCTATCAAGTCAACAAAAACAATTCCACCACATTTTCATTCCTCTTAATCAGCGGAACCCTATGTTCTTGGTGACGTGTTTTTAATTGGCAGCTGCTGCTTTTCTCGGAGATTTCGTCCGTCCATTGAGGTAGCTGCAGTAGCCACGATGATGTCGTGATGCTTTGATGAAGTGGCGTGGAACGGCCGTAGAGTATTGCACCGCCCGGCACCGCCCCACGCGACAGGCGAGTGCCTCGAAGTGCCGCGGAGTGGCCCCCGGGCAAGGGCGGGGAGAGGCGGGGGTCAGAGAAAGTGCAACTCGCACCACGCCGCAGTGGTGCCCCCTCCCCAGGGGTCCGCTCCAGGCTGCGGAGTCCCCAGGTCCAGGCTAAAGTCGGGTCGGCGCCGCAGAGCGGCTGCTGTAGGCTCAGATCTCCTGTAGGTCTGCCGGAGTCTCCAGGCACAGGCCTAACCTAGCCGGGTCCTAGTCTTCTGGAGTAGTATGGCTGATGTGGCCCCTGTGGGCCCAGCTCTTCTGAGAGGCCCTCAGCCCTCGCTAGCTCAGGTGCATTGTGCGCTTAAGAGCAAGCAATCCTAAGTGCTTGCTCGATAGGATATGCAATTTTTATTGTGAAGGGAATTTAATCTCACAAATTTTGTCAAAAAATAGAAATTATTGTTGCACGAGGTGGAACTGCACCACATTGCACGGGTGCGGCGGGTCGCCTCCACGCTCGCGCGGTGAGACGCCGTTCTGCAAACCCGCACTCACTGCAGCACGGCAGCATACACTGGTGTATGACACTGCACCACATAATTTTACGCTGCAGCGTTTGCATGATGCAGTGTGTGCATATTTTGTAGTTATATAAGATAATATGCATACGATAGTGATGTGGAGACTAGCAGTTAACCGCACCCCCTATTATCCATCCTTACAACGTGTTTGCACAAAGAATCGAGTAAAGAATGTAATTGGCGATTCTGAGGCGAATCCCCTGCTCTTTCGAAGGCCGAGGCCGACTTGCATGCCTCATTTGTATTCAACTAACGCACTTGACTCCCGCGAGGAGATTGCGCTGCTGTAACGCTAATGTAATGAGAACACTCGCAGATCGATTATTTTTCGGGCAGAGGATAAGGTTAGTGAAGCTAAATACAGAACTGTATTCATGTAGGTTTTTCTCTGACGATCTTTTTTTTTAGCGACAAATAATGTCTTGATTTTCAAGTGATAAGCCGCGTTCTTCGCATCGTGTATCCTTGTTGAGGACAGGGGGCGAGGGAGAGCCTCTAGAAAGTTTTACCGTTCTCCTCAGATTTATTCGGCAAAAATTAACAGCGGGGGCTCAGCGCCTGCGAGACTCGGGATAGGCCACCCCGCATTACACACGTGCACCGCAGGCAAAAATGTTGCCTACCCATCAGGCGCTATGAGAGCTTTGTACCGGCTGAACTCGGCAATTTCGCAACGGCGAATAACGGACGCCCTTTGTGAATGATCTACAACTGTAGCCCGTGCGGGTGCACAGAGCACGCGCGCAGTGCGTGCGGCGCTGTGCACCTGGATCCTGGATAGGTTTTAGGAGCTGACGCTCACGCCGATTCTAAGCGGCATCGTGGCGCAGTGATTAGTGACTCTTTGGACACTGGCTGACTGACACCTAGAAATTAGTTTTTGAACCAAGTAGAACTACGTTTGTGTAATAGAATTGCCTTTGCCGAATAGATTTACTTGAATGAAGAAGTCCATTGCTGAGTGTGGGAGCTCTCGGACGCTTCATATCGTGGACTGCATGGGATTGTCGACGCGCAAACTGCACAACACCCTTACTACTTCACTTTTCGATGTGATGCCCCCTTGTTTGAGGACATGCACACACTGGACACACGCAGGACATAGGCGGCCGTCACTGACACGGTTCCCTCCCCGGGGCTGCACCATGAGGCGGCCACACGGCCGGCCTTAAAACAACAACAAACAAGGGGCAGGCGGACACATATTAACACCGCGGACAGGACAGGCCTGCAGCCCCACTGCGCTTCAAGCCGCCCCGCCCTGCCCCGCCCCGCCACGCCCTGCCGTTGCATGCATAAGGAGAAAGCTGTTTAAGCTGAACGGTGCTGCATAAGGAGGTCCTGCCGCCGCTACTGCCGCTGCTTCTGCGGTGCAGGTGTTATAGTCCCGCCCGTCGCGACGCTCCCGACCCCTCCGCGGCCTTATCCTCCTTCTGCTCCGCTGGCCTTCGACTCGTGTTTTGGTCCTGGCCTCGCCTTCAGTTTGGACCACCCCTCCCTTTGGATCCATTATTGACCCTCTTCCTCCTGCCTAGATCCCTCCCCTTTCATCTGCTCTTGCCGCACCTTGTCAGCCCAGCGTTCTCCACGAGCCCGCCTCTACGGTCTGGTACTGATACTTGATGACTTCAATGATTTGTTTACTTTGCGAGAGGTTTGCTGCATGGGCCAACCTAGGAAGTTCAAATTAACTGCTATACACTTTTCAGAATTTAATATTAGACAAAGAATGAAAAGTGTTCAACGCAATGTTAAGAACTTTGCATGCGTACACCGCCGGCAATTGCACTTTATTTATCAGAGTGAACACAACAATGTTATTGAATTTCGGCATTTTACGATAATAATCTGTCACGAATAGTTCGTAATTGAGTATTATTCGTCAATTTTGGTTACGAACTGTTCGTAGCGGTAGCGGTATAAAACAAATAATTCGTAACATCACGATTTAATAGTGTCAATTAGGACAGCGGTCTCAGACAGCAGACGACGCGCGGGCCGCACGGGTGGGATGTTCGGGTGGGGTGTTCAAATGTTAGTTTAAAAAATTCTTGACTCCAGGATCGTTCTTTTAGGACAACTACCGAGTTACAAACTGTTCGTCATTTTACGAATGTATTCGTTACTTTAAAATTACGAAGAGTTTGTGTTTAAAAACTAACAGGACATTTTTCGTTAAATTGCGATGTAACTTCCAACAGTGAACAAATTGCCCCGCCCGCACTCAATGCGTCAACTTCCTCCCGAGATGGCAATAACGGTTATAATCGGTTATAATTGAATATCCATTCTTAGTTCAAGAATACCAGGTGGCTGATTAACCCCGCACACTTCTGTAGTTAGACTGTATCGCACGCAGGAGTGCGGGCGGGCTTGCCAATCGCTCCTGTCCACGGCGCCTTACGGGCCGGGCGAGTAGGCAACCCGCCCGCTCTCCTGCGTGCGGTACAGTCTAACTACAGAAGTGCGCGGGGTAAATCAGCCACCTGGTACATTCATAATTACACTTTGATTCGCATTGATTTTCGTCGACTTCCATTGATCCGATTGCAATTGGTGACTCCCGGGCCAGGTCCACACTCCACACATGCTTCATAGACTGGACATTTCCTGGCCCTCAAAACAACAGCAGGCTATTCTGCAGACCAGGACACCGATGGAGCTGAACTTGAACTTAGGCTGGTCGCGTCAGTCAACGGAAAGGTAGCAGCGTGCGGGAAACGAGAAAATGGCGCAAAACCTTGCGAAGAATGTGGCGCCTTTTGCTCCAGACTCCGGGAGTGCGTTCTCGCCACGCCCCGCCACGCCCCGCCCCGCCCCGCCACGCTACGTCCCGCCACGCCAGTTGACGCTGACGCGCGGTGCGGCGTGGCGAGGCGCAGTGGCGGTGCCGGTAGCACTCATGGTGGCACTGACAGTGACGACGACAGCGTCGCGTGCGTGTTTGGTCGCGTGCCCGCCCGGCTCACTCACTCTCCCCCCCCTCTCTCTCTCTCTCCATCTCTTCTTGCCATGGCATTCCCCTCCAGTAATTAGCTGCAAACAAATGGCCAACCAACAGTTTCTCCTCCCCGCTTTCTTCTATTCCGCGCTTGTTCACGGAATCAGAGCCGCGTCTCGCGTACACGTCGCGCGCGGATCTAGGGAGGGACGCCATATTCCTATTTCTTTTCAATTTTATCCCCATCCCTGCTCATTTATTGCGACGTGTTTTCGCATACCATTGTTTTTGTAAATCGCCCCCAAACCGTCACTTTGGGCACCGCTTCAGACCACTTCGAGAAGTGGAATAGGGGTGGTACGGGTCAAGGAGAGGGGGGAGGGGGACTGCAACAGGAACAGCAAGGAGGAGCAGTCCGAGAGGACTGACTACTTGAAAGTCCCGCGCTTGTCTTCGGAAGGCGGAACAGGTTTTTGCGAAAATTATTGAACGCATCACTCCGGCCAGTTACGGCATCTTGGTGCGCCGCCACGCGGTCTAGTTTCGGGACCTACGCTATTACGAGGTTGTAGCTAACCGAAGAGAAATGTGGCGGAGAGAATGAAAGTGATCGAGAGGAGGAGACAGGCGAGGAGGAGGAAGAGAGGGGAGTGAAGTGAAGAGAGGCAAATGAATTAAAGGAAAGACGGAGAAAAGAGAAATGATGTGCACTGATTAATGTCCCTCGCGTCGCGTGGAGTCCGCCGCCCCGGTCGGGGCATGGTCATTAGCAAGGCGGAATACTACTGGGTTTGTATGGGAAAAATTTCTGTAAAAAGTGTCATAAAGTGAGGAATTTTCATTGTAACATACAGAAAGAAACAGTAATCCAGAAGCTCTGTTACTATGACCAAGAATGCACTGTCGCGAGTCTACAAAGATATCTTCGCACAGGGCCCCCTCTTCCACGCCAACGCCTCCCCGCCCCACCACCCCCAAGGTAGTGAGAGTGGGATTAAATGGACGAGCCGAGCCGAATCGAATCGTAGCCATTTAAGCCCCGGCGAGCGCGACAGGAGACACATTGCGGCTCACTGATGGATCAATCGGGGGAGGAGAGGGGGGAGTCTGTCCCGCCCGAGGCGCGCGACGCCACGCCACGCCCCAGGCGGGCAACAACGCCAAGAGTGAAAACTCCACTCGCCAACACTCCAAAGAGTGAAATGATGTTGCTCTTAATTTTATAAAACCAGTTTGCACGGCCTTAGGGGAAGGATGTAGGCCAGGAGAGGCGCGGGGGGAGGGGCGGGGGACGCGTTTGTCATGCTGACAGGCGCATGTTGAGCGGAGCGCGCGGGGCGGGGTGGGCGGGGCGTCTCTGCAGCCCGGCCCGGCGGGGGGCCGCGGGGGGCGGCCTGGGCCGGGCTCTGCGTTCAAATTCCTCGCCTTCCCTCGTCGCGTCTCACTCCCACGGGCCGGCGGCGCCGCGGGCCGCACCCGCTGGGGGAGAGAGACGGCCGCTCTCGCATCGGGCGGAGACAGAAAATCTACTGCTCATCCTTTTGCCGGGGCTCCATATTTCCAGGGCCGGCGTCCTCCAGGGGGGCTCGCCGCGCCTCGCCCAGCCCCGCCCCGCCTCGTCGGCGAGGAACTACTCCCGGCACTTCGCCTTAACATCCCCACGGTGCCCCGCGGGTGCTGTCTCTGGTCGCATGCAGCCGATAGCGAGCCGCCGCGCCAGGGGCGTAGGAGCCTATGGGGCCGGGGGGTCCATGGCCCCCCCAATTTTCAGGGTTGGGGGGGCCGGCCCCCCCAACTTTTGGGCCCGTACAGTTACGAAATTTAACCCTTAAACCACAGAGCAGGAGCGCATGCTAAGGTGCCGACACAGCACCTCACACGCTAGGTTTTTGTTTAATACACACTTTATAGTTATTTTAATTTATTTGAGTTACTAGTTCCTATTGTTTTTATTTAATTGATAAATAAATCATTATTTATGCATTGTACATCATAGAAGTGTTTCTTTTTTACACTTAATGTATTGTTTCCGCAAAATAAAACAATACATGCTATTGTATCCCAGCGGACTGGGAAAACCACCCCTGCAAGGCAGGCAACCCACACGGCGTGCCCCCCCAATATTCAGGACCTTCCTACGCCCCTGCGCCGCGCCAGCCTCGGACGGCCCTTATGGGGTCACAAGCAGTGCAACAATAAAGGGCTCCCTGCGACTCGCCCCCCCCCTCCTCCCTCCCTCCTCCGTTCCCCTTCCACCACTAACACGCCGCCGCCGCGCCGGCCGGCGACACGGTGAGCCCGGAAACAATACACCCAGCGGCGCGGACGGTGCTCTGTAGCGCCGCCGCTGGCCTTCAGCTCACCCACTTCGGAGGAGATGAACTGATTCTGCCGGGCGTTGTTTGTTTGTCACACCTTCTTCGCAGTTAGGCGTGTTTCAGGACGGCCATTTGACTCATCTTCTGTCTCGCGTAAAGCCGCCGTACTCATTTAAAGTGACGCTTATTGCATCAGGACGCACGCGTTGCATGGGACACAATGGGTGGAATGCCTGTGGACTCATACAATGCAAGTACCCGGAAGAACAGAAGGTGTCCAGCAGATAGTCGACAAAAGTCGCCTAGTTTTGCGGGTCAGGCGACTTTGTCGTCTACCTTCTGGTCACCCCCGATTTACAGTGTACACGCCGGGGCCATGAGGCAGGCGCCATGGTGAGCGACTGGCATGCGGCGCAGTGTGAAATACCCCGTCCACTGTTAACCGAGTGCGTTCAGATGGGGTGACCTTGAACCCGACCCACAACGCGCCTACCCTACGACCCTGGCCCTGGACCTCGGGCTCGTCCCGCGGCCCGTTTCGGCACCGACACGTTCGCGTCGACCCGGCCCCCGG